ACACAACAATAGCTGAACTGGTAGAACAGTTCATAATCGAGCAGGAGCTGGCACAGGAGCAGATGGCACACCTCTTGATGCATCTTGCTGCTTTGCTTCTGTGGCAGCATGGAGGCAGTTCTTTAAACTTTCTTTTCTGTCTTCCCATGTAAGTGCTACTTTATTGAGAAACACTGGTTAAGTATGCTTTTAAAAGTGTCTCTTTAAGCGGAAATACTTTGGAAATCAGAAGGTAGCAGCAAGTTTTTATAAGTACCTGAATGCCTTCCATGATTATTTCTCTGTCCAGCGAAGTGTCAGTTCCTCCCTTTCTGCGAGCAGGAACTTCTGGTATGGACACTTGTTGGCTAGGACAGCTCATCTAGCTTCTCTCTGTCATCTTCCTTCAAAGCTGCCACTCATCTAATTTTTTTTCAAGACTCCCGGTAACTAATGCTCAAGTTTCTGTGCCCTAATTTCTCGCTGCAACCTAATTATTGTTGTAATCTTCATGGCTGCAGTGTTCTGGAGGGATCACAGGTGACTTTTGAACAAAAAGGCGTTGAGAACCACGTGTCGTCCTGTACTCATTTTCTTATTTTTATGCATTTGGGGATGAGGGGCAAGCTAATTGAAAATAAATTCTAGACCAGGTTTTCAACAGAAATTTAGATTTTTGTGTTTAGTTCTTCACTTTGAGAATTTCAGAATTTTTTCATGGGGTTTTACTTCATGTTTTCTAGCAATCTTTTTGAAGAAGAAATGGCCAAAGCTTAATACATTATACAATTCAGACTGGCTGAGAAACTTCGATATAAATGTCAATGGGGACTTCCTACTAGTGAGAGGATGCCAGAAGGGAAAGTGTCCCATTCAAGGAGTGATGAATAAACAGGAAGCTGATCAGCTCTGTACAATTTCTCTGGCTGCTATGTCTGCTGCTTGATCCTTCACCTATTTTTTGTTGTTTTCTTTGTGAATAGTTCCACTAGCTTTCTGTGGTGTTGCTCATAGGTTTTCCAGACAGAGTGGGAGGAGGGGAAAAATACAATTCCTGTTTCCTCTTCCCTTAACATATTGATGAGCATATATGAATCTGAAAATCTTAGGGATGTCATGCTGAAATTACTTAAAAATTGTTTGCTGCCAGCGAGTTGTTATTTAATCTTCCAGTGTTTCCTGTCCTTATAAATGTAAGAAACAACATTTTCAAATGGATCTAGTGAATTTTGTGTTAGTTTCCACCCTAGTAGGGCATTCTTCGTTCTTTTTTTACCTTGAAAATTTATATAATCTGTCTAGTCTATTCAGTGCTGGTAAAACTTCATTTTGAGTTCTGTATCCAATTTGAACACTGCTGTGCAAGAATAGCTGACCCATTTGAAAGAGTTCACAAAATAGCAGCCACAGTTGGAGATCAAGAAAGCATGATCTGTGAGAAAAGAGGGAAAGAACTGGATTTATCTGGCCCAAAGACAAGTTTGAAGGGAAGCTTCTTATAATAAATGTTTAAAGTTGTAAAATGTTCCTGCATGGAAGAAGAGGAGCTGTTTTGTTCTCTGTATTCACAGCGAATAAGGGAAATTGCAGGAAAATTCAGGTTAGATGTTAGGGGAAAAGTTAAAATAATAGAAGATAAGGTAATTAGTTTGGGAAGGCTGTGAAATCTCCATCAAAGGACTGTAAGAGAAGGTTAGGCAAATGGTTTTCAAGAAAGGGAACTGAGACTGTGACTTGGGAAGGGAAGTCTTAGGACCCTCTGCTCCTGGCTTTTGTGGGACTGATCATAGGAAAACATTTGAAGGACCTAAAACAAGAGCCACAGAGGAGCATAGGCTTTTTAACATTCAGATATATCTACATGATATTTTGGAGGCAAATGTGAGCTCACACAAAGCAACTGATCGGAAAGCACTACAGCCACAACAAACATGGCCCAGTGCCAAGCTAAAAAGGCCCAGTGCCAAGCTGAGAGTGACACTATCTAATTTCTGAGTGCCAAACAGGAATCTTCTAGCTTTATGTTGGCAATTTTTGCTGAAAGACAAAGCAAGGTGAGAGCAAGATGCCTTTTAATAGTTTTAGATGCAAAACAAGACAAATAAAAACTTAGAAAATATCTCCAGAATGGTTAAACTGCGTTTAACTATAAAAACACTTCAAAATCCTGTGTTTGTATGCTTTTATTTGAGTTCTAGTTGAAGTTGTGTGCAAATCAAAATAAAAATGAATGCTTATGTGACAAATCAGAAACGTCTCATTTGCTGTTTTCTGGTATGATACATGTAGAAACCTCTGCAATGTGTTAGTGTGCATTTGTAGCGTTTCTTCTGTCCTCTGTAAGAACTACAAAAGGTACATACATGCAGAATCTTAATAGACTGACAGGAATTTTCCTTTTTAAATTCTGCTAGGCCAGAACAACACTTCAGCGCGCTGTAATATAGTCTTAAAAAATATTTGCACTTTGAGGTGGTTTTTTTGCAGCTAGTTTACTATCAGCATTCTTGGTTACACAAAATACAACCTGTGCTGTGCAGATGATTACACATATATTATACACTAATTCTCTTATGAAAGTGTATTTTTAAATGAAAGGTATATGCAGAAGTAAGAAGAAACTTTTAAGGTGTGTAAATAAAAAAAAGAGCTTTTATTTTGCAGTAAAACAGTGCTTTCTTGCTAGATACTGTTCAGGTGAGGGGGATGTTTACATCACTTAAAATGCTAGTGATCCTTAGACAGCCTTTGTTTGCGTGACTTGAACCTTGTCTTTTAAATATAGCAAGTGCATTTATCCATCAGTCCTTTACCTGTTGGTTTAGAGGTCTATCACCAATTGTTTTATACCCCGCTCCAGTAAGCAGCATCAGCCTCAAATGAAGCAGCTGTTCAACAGGTAGCAAAACAGCTTTTTCTGTAACAGTTAGCATAAGGGGAACAGAATGCATACAGAGACTTAAACATATACCATTTGAATACACAGATACAGCAGATAAGGTGTGCAAGATATATACCACTAACTGTAGTATGGTTCAAGAATGTATTTTAGTAGATGAGTATATGGCTGTACCTGCAAAGCATGTCTGGCCTAGCCTTATGGAAAAAGTGTTTCAGTCCTTCCTGGTTGGTCTTAGATTTGAGGTTCTCACTGAGCTGTTGTAAGATTAAATTCATTCTAGAAATGTGTTATGAAATTGTGAAGAATAAATTAGTTAGAACAGCTTTAAGGTGTTTGAGTGATACAAACGAATTCATAACTGGTAATCATTCTTTCAATACCCTGTGACAGTCTAATGCTGCATTTATCACAGCGAAGTGATACACACTGCTTGTGAAAATCTTTCAGAGCCTGAATTTTTTTTAAGAAAAGAAAAAGTCATTCATAGAGAGGTCCAGCATTTTTATACATTCCACTTTTGAAATACATCTGGTACAGAAAGTAGGAGCAGTGACATTGCAAAGTTAATAAAAACTTGAGAGAGATTCTGCTTAAAGTCAAGGCATTTAAATCATCACATTTTTGTCATGAACAAGACAGGTTTCCAGTGTAAATTCTGCCTTTTCTGTTAGTGTCCTTTCCATGATCTTTTTGCTTGGCCATCTTAACTTACATTAAAATACATTAATGGAATCTTAACACAAAATCATTTTAATTTATTGTGGCATTGCAAGAAAAGATTTAATGTTTGCCTTAATTTAACTTTCTAAGTTTAGTGTGGATCTGGTTATTAAAAGCTGCATGTACACTTGAGCTAGGAGTCTAATGTAGGCTTACGTTGTTTCTGTTCTTCCTTGTCAAACTGTATTTCAGACTCTTTACATATGTAGAAAAAGTAGGAAATCTGCTGAAAGAAGACCTCAGATATAAATGAAAAATAACAAATAACGTCTGTATGTGTGTTTCATAGTCTTTGATTAATTCAGAAAACAAGGCAGGAAAGAGAAGGGTGGAAATGGGGAAAATGAGGAAAATGTAAAAGTCTGTATGGTTCAATAAGGCAAACTGCTCTTCAGACACCCTATACTGAGGAGCTCAGAGTTTCTTTAGTTAGTGAAGACTAAATAAAATTAAATTGTTGAAATAACTGCAAAATCAGATGGTTGGACTGTGGAAGAACGAAGATTCTTTTAATACTGGTTTTAAGTTTTATGCGCCAGCTTCCCTATCAGTAAGCGCTATGCGCTTTAGTACTGTAAGTAGGCATAACCCTAGCATAGTGCTTGAGTTGAGTGTGTAGATGTAAAAGATTTTCTTATTTTTTTCATGTAGCTAGCGCAAGGGGGTAAAAACAGAAGCAGGTAGAAAGAAGAGTTGGAGGACCTTTGGAGAAAGCATGGTGAAAAGGGAAGGCTTTGGAAACAGATCAGAGAAGACCAGAGAGACATCAGAACACAGCAAGGCACGAAGAAAGAAAAATATTTGTCTTGTCCTTCTGGTTGTCTTAATTTAGGTCTCTGTTTTACAAGGAGGTCAGTTCAGGCCTGTGAAAAGCTCTGTTGCACCAGTAGTATTGATCCTCCCACACAAAATAATTTAAGGGAGCAAGCCTCCAGGGGCACATTAAGATAACAGTCTTTGTCTTCTGTGGTTTTCTGTCAGTATTCATTTTTGTAATGTGGCATCACATATGTGTGTGTGTGTGCATTTAATGGGTAGGATAACAATGACTTATTTCTATGGACATATTCTGGGAAAACTGGAGTTCTCTTGTCTAAACATTGAGGAAGTTGGTTTATTTTTTTTATTTGTTTTGTTGTTGTTGTTGCTTTCTAGTTCTGTATGCAACCTGGAAATAAAAACAGCTGTTTCGCTTTGCTATTTAAAATGTCTAGGTGGTATGCTATACAAGATCAGAGAATGTTTGTAAATAAAGTATTAGTCTCCTCCTTAGTGAAGAGACTACTGACAGACTTGTGGGTCGCAAGAGGAAAGTATGCGTGACTTCAACAGGTGACCGAATTGTATGTTTTGTGGTCTTTACAGATAGACATACAGAGCTGAAAAATCACAAGTTGAAATGAGTGATCGAGAGGCTGATGTTCTACGTTGCTGGAGATGCAGAAAATACATAGCAAGTTCTGTTTGCCTTGCAAAATGTCATGGAAAAGAACCATCCGAAGTAAGTATAGCATGTGAAGGGAGTTTGTAACTTTTTCCAGTGCCATTGGTTTTAAATAAAGGAGAAGTATTAGAGTTGCCCTCACTTAGTAATTAATCTCCTGTGGAGATAAGTACTAAAATATGGACAATTCCATAGAGAGGCAATGTAAGCAGTAATGTTAGTGAAGCTGAATAGGCAGTGATGACCTTCATGTTCTGTGATATGAAGGCTGGTATTCATGATACATTTGACTACTAGCTTGTGTATAGTGTTACCATTTTTCGTATAAAAATGTTTTTGGCAGTTTTAATGCAGTCATTTTTTGTTTTAATATCTCTTAAGAGAGAACTCTTTGTTTCTAAGGTGTGTTTTAAATACTGATACTAATTTCCACTGCAACAGTTAACTGTGTGTCAAATATTCCTACACCAGAAACTTTTGCTCTTCATTTTGAAAAAGTGGGCGATAGTCTGTGCACAAAAATAGTTTAGAAGATTAGCCTGCCCTGAGCAGGGGGGATACCCTGCCAGGCTAAAATACCACTTAGTAATTCACATCATCTTTGTTAAAATAAACAGAAAAATAATCATACAGAATAAAACAATGACAGAGTATTTCCTGCTGCTTTATAATGGCAGTTAGTAATCATAAAGAGCTAGAGTCTTTCCAAATATGCCAAGAAAACTGTGTTTACATCCTATGATCTTGAATCAAAGTGAAAAAGCAAGTAAAAGGGGAGATGTTGATCTTTTTTATTAACGCGCTAGAAATGCAACAACATTCTTTTTGGCACTGGAGAAGGGTATAACCAATAGAGGTAGAAACAAAGTTATTATTTTTTAAGATCCTGATATAATTATTATTATTAATAAACCCCATTTTAATCATGCTGCTTACAGAGCTGGAGGTTCTGGAATATTTTTTGTGCTTTATACTTGAGGAGTTTTTATTTTGTGCATGGTTTGAAGCGTTTTTTTGTGAGAGGATGGGGAAATTTCAACTCCTTTAATGGAAAAAATGTAGCAAAAAGAAGGAGGTATTTTCATCCATGCCCCATGGCGGAGCTTTTAATTGCTAGTGGAGATCTACCATCATTGTGCACAAGACTGAAGTAGCTCCTTCTGTGATTATGTAGATAGCAGATAAAAAAAAGGTAATTTAACGCTACTTCCCAAGACATTGGGAAGCAAAGATTGCACTATGATGAGAAGAGTAATGTTTTCAGTATGTCGGCTTTCCCTGATGAATTTTAGACCTTCAGTCAAAGACATAGCTGAAATATGAGTAAAAGAGAGAAATCTTAGAACAAATCTTAAAACCAAATGTTGAAGTTATGAATGCAGTATAAGCAGTTTAAATCAGAATTATATCCAAGTTGAAGTACAGGTACTCTCCACAGATAGGAGGAAGATGATAGCGTAGACGTGGCAAACGGATCTATCTGTCTGCTGTCAATACTTGGAAAATTTCTAAAAGCTTCTGTCTTTTGTGTATAGCCCCACTTTCAATTTTCAGCGTAGTGAAACTTTTATTCCCATGAGTTTCATAACATAGGAGTCAGTGATTTTCCATATTCATAAACTTTAACAACTGATATTAAGACTTTAACGCTCACCAGAGTTTCCTTATATTTTTAGCCATCTTTATAACTTGACTGACGTTCTAAACCATATTAAAAGATTGAATTACACTTGTATCATTTCTGTGCTAAAAAGTAGTTAGGTAATTGTTTTTATTTTAGTATCAGTTAGTGAAATGCCACTGGGTTTTAGATTTTGGTTTCTCTTCAGTTGGTCACATCACTGCAGTAAAAACTCAAAAGTTGCTAAGAGTCCCTCGTTTCTCTGCTAGTTATTCTGACAAGCATTAGAAAATTAATGTAAAACTATTTGTGGCATAGTTGTACAGTACTGACCACAGTCTTCATATAAACTAGAACTTAAATCTTCCTGTCTTCACTGGAAAATTATGCCAGCTGATAGTGCTTCTGAAATCAATTTCCAAATATACTTGGAAGATCAGCAATTGCATACTTTCAGTTCTTGTAAACAAGACAAACCACCTTCAAACGCCTCCATCTCCACAGTAGAGTCTGTCCGATGTCCTTAGATTCAGAAATAGAGAATTATTGACATTATCTACCCGATTTTTATCTTAAAGAATGCACCAACATCTTTGAGTTTTATCATTTGTTAATGAAATACATACTGAATTTGGGAAGCTGACTTCTGGCTATATTCAAACAAAAAAAGCTTACGTGAATGTTGAATATTAATACAATAATTCTTTTTTTAACAGACATCACAACCTTCCGCTGCTCAGGAGTCTTGCAACATATGGCATGTGAACTTAGAAGCCATTCCAGAGTGGGTGAAATGTGTCATTGAAAAGGTAGATCTTTTTTTGCTTGCATCTTTATCATTCAAAATGTGAAATAAGGGGAACAAATTCCAAGGGCACTTTTCTGCCAAGGTCCACATATATTACAGAGACCACCTAACTGAGGGAATTTTTCTCGGTAACTTCTATCATTACCATTTACAGAAGCTTTTTTCCCTCTTAAATTTTTTTTTTAATGTATGCACGAAACCTACAAGTGATAAATTCTGTTCCTACTCATTTATAGATGAATGTATTTGTGTTTGTCCAAATAACTGTCATGGGCACCTCTGCATATTTTGTCAATGCTTAAAATTATGTTACTTATCTAGGCTTTGGGTTTTGGTTTGTCTTGATCATCGTATCTAACGTACTAACACATATGTTGACAGTTACAGTAAGAAGCATGTTTCTCCATAAAACTGGACTGGAGGTTTGTTAAGAGATCAGTTGTTGGAATATGATGTGATGTCTTTTATATTTAATGCGCTATTATGTCATATGAATAGAGAGTAGTTACCTTCCTGCAAATTCAAAGGTCTTGTGACAAGCCAGTATCACTGCTTTTGAGTTTTAACTGCCCATTTGAAATTACAAACCATCTCATAACTTCCCTGTTGTACTGATTGCTTCAGTTGAGTATTTTCTTTAAGGTCTAGAAGTTAATGTTGTTGCGTAGATACAATAAGCAGAAAAAGTGCTTTCCTTTTGCCCTACAGTTTTTCTCTGATGAGTCTTTGATTTTGAGAGGGAAATGATACCTGCACTCCTTTCTGCTTAGACTTCAGTGTCTAAGTTTTACTATATTGCAAGTAACTTCTGATCTAAGCAAATCCACCCTGAAAATGATACACAAATAAAAAAATTGTTATGACTGTAAAACTAAGCATTCAAAAATTAAGAAAATTTGTTTCATCTTCCTTCATTGTTCTGCTCTATGTTTTATTTTGTTAAACATTAATTAAACTCTTTTTAAAATTAATGATCTCTTATACTTCAGTAGTGCATGACAATAATTTATCTGTTTCAGAAACATTAATCTTGGGGGGAGGGGGTGAAAATTAGGGGTGATGAGATATTTCCCCACTTTACAGAATTGCCTAATCTTGAATGCCTGATCATAAAGATGTGGGTTTTTACAGTACTTTGCATGTTACTTTATTTCAGTAAAATTGGATTCAATATTAATACTAATATTATTCTTTTTACCTTTAGCTGTAAATGGCCAGCCTTCTGCATTTGAAAGCCTAGAGGGTCAAGTTGGAGACCTGGGAAATACAAAACCCATAGACTGCTCAGAAAAGGCTTAACATATTTGCTCAAGATTGCAGAGGAGCGATGTTCCTCTGGTGGCAGAGGCAGAGAATGCAATTCTCTGTGAACACCTGCAATATCTTAGTATTCATTTTGTCCTTTAGTATCCTGGGAACTCTTGCCTCATTCACTTCTGGAAAGATCCTGTGGGTTTATGGATAAATGTGTGGGTTTTTTAAACAATTTTGACTTATCTCCAGATCCTCCTGGGTTCTGAATAATTTTGTGATCATGTGTTATTTTCTCCTGTATGACTCCTGAATCAAAGACTAAATCATTTCACATAAACACAAAGTCTATTTGCAGGCTGTAAAAACCCACTGCTTCCCAGCCAGTTCTTTTTTGCCATCTGTCCTTGTTCTTAACCAATCTCATTGGGTTTCATGCACACATTAGTGTATAAATAATCTTCAGTAATTATTAATATCTAGCTAGTGCTGTTAGTAACCTTTATTGACCTGCAGTTTCTTTTCCCCATTACTCCTCACTTGTTTAGCTTCTTTGGCTAACCCTTCCCAGTTTTCCCTCTTTTTGCAGTCCATCATTAAATCTGTGTACCCTCAGCTCGTTTTCAGGTCTTGCTGATTTTCCCCATACCACTTCCTCTACTAGTAGGCTGTTACTTCTTTTACTGAGTCAGTGCTTCCACAGTCTGTTGCCAAACTCATGCTAAATCAGTTCCAGACTCCCTTGTACTGCACCTCATCTCCCAGTTTCTGTGCACATAAGACATAGAGATGTCCTTTTTCTTTCCTACTGTCTTTCGCATTCCCATTTTTGCCAGGCTCCTAGCCTTCTCTAACCTTCATGAATTACTCCTTCTCCCGATTTGGAGATCCAGGTTACTATTCCATAGTGCCTGAGTGCCAGAAAGACTCACTAAAGGCACTAGAAAGTACGTTTCCCTGAATTTTAGTGCCTAGCCCATGGCATCTGGGAAATGGAGTGTGGGAGATAGTAAAACTCTGAACCAGCCTAATTCTTCTTTGGGAATGGCATATGCACACGTTGATCAGCCTTATAAACTGAGAGAGGCTGTGCATGTTCAAGGAATTTTCAGGGATTTGAAAGCCTCTGGGCGTATGTAAACTGAGATTTTTTTTTTCTCTAAGTTAAAAACATGTCCAGATTTAAAAAGATTCTTGCAGGTGCAATGAAAAGCACATTTTTGATACTTTGTGAAATTTTGAGGTTTTTAACCCACAAGGCAGGAGTAAGTTTCTCAAATAAGTGTTTCCAGAACAACTTCTAGCATTGCATGTGAAAAATAACCTTTTTTCCGCACAAATTTTTTCCTGAAACTTTTTTCCTGAAACAAAATTGATTTTATTGAAACTTTCTGAAGCTTTCAATCAGACAAGCATCAGTCATGAAATCATCTTCCCAAACTACCTTGAAAGACATTTGCAACCGAAAGCAATGCTTTAACTAGAAATGTTGGGCAGCTTCTGTATTCACAGCTCAACCCCACGATAGGCACACTAGTGAGTAGTGTGTGACTGGAGTTCATAATGTTGTTTCTCATCTGGGCATTAATCCTACAAACACTTGCATAACTTTAATTCTCAAAAATGTTTCTGCTGACAGATTAATATATTTACTGAAAATACTAACAGTTGTGCAAATATGTAGGAGTTTATAGATCTTTGATATATATTTTCTTTTGAAAAAGTGCCTTTAGGATTGAAATGAAATTCATAGAATTACAAGTAATGAAAAAACCTGTCTCCTTATAGATAGAGTATTAAGGATTTGTCATGGTATCTGCACACAGATTATGTTGTAATACTACATACACCAAAATACAAGTACCATTTCAAGGTTTTGTGGGGTAAGCAAAGTAAAAAGCTGTACACTTGTTGTAAGAAATCTCGTTTCACTGTACTTAGTATGCAAGAAATGTATCAGCACTCAGAAGACTCAGCTGAGAAATTGTGCTTGCCAATTCCAGACTGGCAATGGTAAATTGATTTCATTGCTTTAAAGGATCTAATGTTTTCGTTAGTATTGCAGCATTATTCTATCTATGAACAAATGTTAAACATATTTCAAAGCCCCTACATTTTGAAATATGTGTTCTAGATTTCTCAGAATTAGTTATCACTGGAGCAAGCTGAGTTTTGACCAGAACATTATTTATGGTGCATTTTCTTTCTGCTGTGAGGTCTTTTTTATTGTGTTTGAAAAACAAAAAGTAAGCTCTTTTGTTAAAGGAGAAAAGTAACTCTAGTAATGATTTCTTAATTATTTATTTACCATGAATGTGTTGGGTGTTTTTTTTCTTTTCTTGTCAATAGGCACAGTGGACAATTGGAAAACTGCACTGTCCATTCTGTGAGGCCTGCTTAGGGGGCTTTAACTTTGTTTGCAACACAAAATGTTCCCGTGGACAGTTAGTAAATATACATTTCTGCAAAAGTCGGACTGACTATCAGCCAGCTTTCTCTGTTAAGTCAGCAAAATCATCAGGAAGACACTTACCTCTCCTCAAAATTCAGTCTGGTTTTAGCAAGGATACCTGCCATGAAGTGGTAACTGCAACTTTGGAAATAAAAAATCAAGGGCTTTCATACAGGGCCAGAAATAGTAATGGTACTGGAAGATTAACAGAAGCACTTTGTCTGGAAGTAAGAGCTCCCAAATTTGAGATGAAAAGTAAAAAACTTCCCTTAAAGACATTAAATCAAAAAAGGACTCTTTCTGCTTCCTATCCTATGAATGATACATGCACTGTAAAACCTTTTCACAGAAGATCGCATAGTTTGGATTTAAATGTCAGAGAGATACTTGTTTTGTCACCTGCATTACATGAAACTTGCAGTATGGGAACAATTTACCATGGCCAAAATGAAAATCCATCTGTTTACACACAAAGTGGCTTGCAATTAGAGTCCAATAGGAAAGATGGTAGTTCTTTTCAGGACCTATATAATTCCAGTGCTAACAAACTACAAAAAAGGTTTCGAATTACTTCCCTTACCACATTACTACATAAAGAAACAGAAAGTGAGTGTGATTTTGAAGCTACTGGACAATCTTCTGGGAATGCCATTGCTGATGGGTTACCTTTTGTGATGAACCTTTCCTCACCTACAAGTGCTGTAGAAGAGGAACGATACATCACGCCTGTTGGTCTTGTGCAGTCTACAAGTATTTCCTTCAATCAAAAACTGAGTAAGAGAGAAAGAAACAAGCTGAAAAGCTTGAGGAGAAAACAAAGAAGGCGAGAACAGTGGCTACAGAAGCAAGTAGGTGTTTAAAATTAATTATGCTACTTCTTTTGTAAAGTTTGGTTTGCTTTTATAAATCATTGTGGCTTGTTTTGATGCTGTCTCTTAATACTGCTTTAACATGGTACTGGCTAGAGTGTCAGGTGTCCTGCAAACAAGGATTAATGACCTCTTCCTATCTACAGTTTTTCTAATTCAACCCAATCAGTTTTCTGCGTAAAATCAAGCCTTGGTGGGTATATATAACTAGTGTCTGTTGGCCGCCTTATTGTTTTGTGATATAATAATAAATTTGAAGTGGGAAAAAATACAGTAAAATTTAATCAGTGTGATTAAAGGAAAACTAAAACATCTGCTAAATGAGAAACCCTAGCATTTCAGGATTTCCTAACTTTTAAGTAATGGCGTTTTGAGTTAACTTTACAGTTAAGAAAAATTTATGTTTTAAAAGATGTTTGCATTTATTATTTATTGTAACACAGATATTTTTTCTTTGAGTAAAGAATTGATTGTTGCTATTTAAAATAATTAGTCTTTAGTAGGGAAATATTTTGTCTAGAAATCTAACAGAAATGTTACGTATTCTTATCAATAATACAACAATGGTTTCCTTCTTCAAACCATCTAAGGCAGAACAGAATTGAAGACCATAGATGGTCATGCAATTTTTGGTGGGGGGGGACGGGAGAAAGACCAGCAATGTATCTTAAAATGAGTAACACAGTTTTTGTTTGCTCTAAAATTCAGTAGAAATGCTAATGATATGTATGCTTTCAAAAGAAAATTTCTCATCATAAAATTCCTGCTACAAAATACTGTGTGGCCAGCAAGAGCAAACATACTAACTCTCATCATGGAAGTAGTATCTACTCAGTAAATCGTTCCCACTTTGGGTAGATGTGTCATTGTGATAATCTTAGAATATTCCATAGATGAAGTGTAGTGACATGTTAAAGCTCATGTCAACCTTATTTTACAGGTGTTTTTTTTAATGTGATTGCTTTACATTTTATAGTAGTCAAGTCTAATTTAATATTTATGCCTTATTTGAATGGACTATGCTTAAGTTAGATATTAAATTGTTTTCACTGGTTTGCATTTAATGCAATAGGATATATAGGACCAATAGTTCATGTATGGATCGTTTGTTAGTCCTTTATACCTAAATGATTTTCACCCATAAGATTCTGCTGTCTCTGTACAGTTCCACTCCACTCAGGCACCAAGTGCCTTCAAGCTCTTTCCTACATACAGTCGACAGAGCCTTTAGAATATAGTACAGAATTGAAGCAGAGCGGTGAATTGAGGGTCAAGAGAGAGATACATAGAGGCTGTCTCTCTCAATTAAATGTTAGAATCAGCTTGAAAATGTGATGAGTCTGGGACATATTATGAGACCTTTCAGTATGGCGTGCATATATTCTTTTGACTATGGGAAGGTTTTTTGTTTTGTTTAAAGAAAGATTTAAATTGGCATTGTGATATTTTGAAAACTTCTCATTTTGTAAAATGCTTCTCTGAAAATGAGAGTAAAGAAGCTTTCAAGATCTGCATGTCTTAATATTGAATACTTGTTTTCTAATAAGTCTAAGGATTCTTAGGTGTTGGAGTCCCTAAAATGGCTTTAAAAATTCTAGGCCTCGTTGTTTCTGTTAAATGAAGTGATGATGCAAAACCAGTGTATGAGCATTTGCACAGTTGTGTCATCTGCAGTCTCTCCAGCCACTTTAATCTTTGTTAGATGTTACTTTCAAGAATAAAATGTTGTACAAATTTTCCAGCTTTGTGATAGCTAAGGAAGAAAAATACCTTTTCATGATCTTATCAGATCTGTTTCATGTTAAACCATGCTTAACCAATTCCTACATTATTTTTAAGTTTCATATAGCAAGTTATATACAGTTGTTAAGACTGCTATGTCTAATCAGTAAGCATACGGTTTACAAAGTACAAAAAGTTAAAAAATTAGTATGTAAAATAAATCATCTGGTTTCGAATAGTAGTTTTGAGGGGAAGATAGATTGGTTTTGCATTGATTTCTTTAACCTTGGTGAAAGTTTGTGATCGTGGCATGGAATATGTAAACGGGCCTACTTCGCAGACTCTATGTCAAGCAGCACCCTGAGGCTAGTGCAGCTGTGTTTCCCGTCACTGTGGTATCTTTCCACGAAAATGTGGATCTAGAAAATCTCATCCTATGTACAGTCTGACATGTTGCAAAAGGGGATGTTCCTCTGCCACACACTCTTTTTCGTGGCTGCTCCCCTCTTATGTGCCAGTCTAGGTATCCTCCCTTTTCTTGCAAGTTCTACGTGCTGTCCTTTTTCTTCAGCGTTCTGACGCTCCTCCGTGTAAAAATGTGCATTTTGTTACAGTGGTGCTTGCAATAGGAAGCTGATCTGTGGTACTTTGTAACCATAATTTCCAGCATACTTACCATGTATGCTTAAGTAATCAGATAGTAAAACTTCACAAAGAGAAAAAAGCATAAACCTCTGAGTGAATGGAGTGAAAGAGTTTTGATAAATTACAATGGGAAGTATTTCATTTCAGTGCTCTTTTAAGAAGTACTTCGATGCAGGGTATGAGGTGAATCTCTTCTAAGCTCTCTCTGTTAAAGATAATGTGCATCTCATTTTTGTCTTTAATTAAAGCTTTTCTGGAGAGCAGTCCAAGAGAACAGACCTGTTCAGACTTTGGAATTTCTTTGTAAATGCATAGGCTGCTTCTCTAAGTTTACTTTGTAATGTGATAACTTTATCTGTCAAACGTTTTTTCTGTCTTGCAGTAAGCCAAAACGTTGTGTGGTGGCAGAATGCACTCCATTATTAAGTTGAGCTATATACACCTTGGATTGTAAATAGGAGCGATTCTGTGAGCTCCTGAGCTGCCCTGGCCCGCGGAGGCCTGCACTGATGCAAGCTGTCTGGTGCAGGTGCAGGACTGAGGTAGCCTGCTAACAGCAGAGGGACCCAAGCTTCCCCTGTCTGCTCTACAAGGGAAACCTCTTAATGCCTGTGAGGGGGATACTTGCATTTTGTGTGTGTGTGTGTGTGTGCACGTTTGTGTTCATGGGGGATTTTTAGGTTTCTGGTATATTGTTAGGGTATGATAATAACTACTTAAGTCTAGGAATAGCCAATATTAATAATGGTTCTTGTTATTGTTGCTATAACTAAGAAGATGAAGTATTTCTGTTATAAATTCCCTTTTGTGTATATCTTGTTTGCATTGTTTGCTGATGTCTGAATCTTGTAATAATTTTCTGAAAGATCTCAGACAGAAATACCATTGGTGGCTCCTCTGGTTTTATTTCATTTCTATTCACAATCATTTTACATAGAGGAAGACTGTGTAGCCAGCTTCATTTCTGCAGTATCCTCTTGGAAATGATCCTGATCCATTGGAAAAAGTATTATTGGCCTTTTTGCTTCATTTTATAACTTCACCGGTTCTTTTGTAGGTTTTTTAAAAACTGAAAATTTTGTCTTATAAAGGTGACTAGTGGTCAGTTTCCATGAAGTGAGTTTGCTTTCATGCTCCCAGTTTATCCTGAACTCAGGATAAAAGGAAGAATAATACTGCCATTGAGACTGTTACATGCAGTCACTTGTTCCTCCCCAGTTCCTGCAGTTCTGCCCATGGCGCTGTGCCTCGGGGTCTGTGGGCTGGCAGCAGACTTTGGGGTCTGGTGGTGGGGGGTGTTACTGCGGCTTGCCAGCATCTGGAGTCCTTTGCTGGGAGCAATATGATGTTCATGTCCTGAACTCAGGATAAACAGGTGGGTAAGATACTGCACTGTTTATCCACGCTGTCAGGTGCTGTTATCTTGCTCTGCAGCCTTGCGTTTTCAAGGCAATACTGATGTTCTGTAGCAACTGACAGTCTTGTATGAAGGCACTAGGCTTCAAAGGTTTGACTTGTGACCTTAGTTCACTTAATCTATGCTTGTCTCTTTTTCATGTGTACATGGGTTTATAATTCTTTTTCTTGCACTGTCATGTTTGTATTTAAACTAAATCCTTCAGTTGTCTTGTCATGCATTTATGTACTTGGATTTCAGTCACCCTTTCTATGATGATACTTACAACAAGAATTATCCTCAGACTGCTTATGGATTCCTGAACTGGCTGTTGGAGGGCTAAAAGCATTATTTAGTGTTGGTACCAAAGTAAAGCAGGAAGAGAAGGAAGTGAAATGAAATCACAGCTGGAGGAGGCAAGCAGTAACTACAAAGTCTGAACTGTGACCTTTGTTAGGGAAATATGAGGCCTTAGAGAAACTGCTTAAAGTAAGGAAATAGGAAACACAGGGGAAAAGGGGCAGTCCTAATCCCATACCCTGTGATCTGTACCAAAAGATAGTGGATTTAGTATGGAGTAATATTCAGTTGCAGTGACTGACTAGCTGTGAATCCCCAGAGTTAAGATTGAGAGCATTTTGACTCTGTGCAGCTCATATTGTATCTGCACCAGCTTTCTCATTCACTTGCTCTACTGACTGTAAGAGAAATGAAGATGAAATATTAATATAAACCTTTCCAACTTGGGACAGGTGGAAACTCTGCTTTTGGTGTTCAAAACCACTCCTCCTCTGGATAAGTTCTCAAAATGACATAGCAATATTTACGTTCTATGCTTAACTGGTTGAACTTACGTTTAAAGCATGATAAATTTTGAGTTAAAGAAAACTGAAGCGCTCCTGTGTTAACATGCAGTTGCAGAGTTCACAGTCCCTGGCCTGATACATGTATGATGTACTCTTTCTGAAATAATAGTATTGCACTGACACTACTATAGCATTAATGGTTTAAGAGCCATTGAGCAGCAAGGCTGCAGGGTGTTACACTCACATCTTGTTTACAGGCAAAGAAGAAACACATATTGTGTCTATAAAGCCAAGAATTTATTCTTCATATAACTGAAATCTTCAGAGTGTGATTATTGTTAATTCAGATGTAATTGTTAAAGAAAAAAGACGGAGTAATACTGCCATTGAGACTGTTACATGCAGTCACT